TTATATAAAACATCGTAAAAAAAGTAAAGGATCGCAGTATTGGCTATTTGGAAGAAAGAAAAAAAAGTTACTAGGCTGCAGCGATATATTTGAACAAGGTTACACTTAAAAGTAGTAAAGTAAAGAATAAAGTGCTGCTTGAATGAAAAAAAAGAAAGAAAAGGAGAAATCTTCTACCTTGAAAGTTGTGTTTTTCGAATATGTATTTTTTCATAAACCGTAGTTCCTATAAACCCTTTAATATTTAAATCAAATTTTGTGAATATTAAAATTTAAAAGTGCAGAAGAAAATAACATTAAAAAATATGAATGATTAAACAATTCATAATCGAAATATATAATTTTAATAAAGCAATATCAACAATATTTTAATATAATAATAAAAAGAAAATCATAGAAAAAAAAACTTAAGTTATCAAAAGAATATCAATTTTTTAATTTCAGAAGAGAGTAGTAATAAAAGTAAAAAGTAAAGAAATAATAATATGTACCTATCTCCTGTATCACGATCGACGAATTCCATCGTGACTTGATAATAAACTATTTTAACAACGAACATCGCGAGAATTATTAGCGCGCGACTATGCGTGCGATCTCGAGCACACTGACATTTCGTTTGCGTTTTTTTCGAAGCTTTCGGAGCACGGAGTGTTAGAGAAATGAAAAAAAAAGATCAAAAGAGTCCGATAGAGAAGCGTAAGCGACTTTCCATGCCACCGACGAGAATGTATTTTAAAGGTGCGTGTGACAAATTCGTACGTGCATGTACATCTATGTGTGTGTATCATTCTTTGTTTATTTTTGCAGTGTATATGTCATGTATTTGTATTTTATGTGTGTGTGTGTGTGTAGACAAATGATTGCCATACAAGTGCATACTGAAAACGGATATCCTGCGTTCCGCTACCCTTATACCCCCGAACTCTTCCCCTCATTCCCACTTCACCCAACTTTGATGCTCTTTCACTGAGTGACTGTATATACATACAAATACACGCACACATACATATATGTTGTACAGGAACTTTGACTAATTATCAATTCCTCTTCGCGGCATTTACTTCATGTTTATTGAACGGACAAAATTTGCTATTGCGTTTAAAATTTTTCTCTGTGTGATTCAATTGATTTTCTATAAGCTAATATATTTTCGTATATACAATATATAAAAATATTACGTATAGCTCTTTAAAATTATAAGATTATTTTTATTATAATAATTGTAATTTATCGTTTAAGATTATTCCAAATTTCAGGTACGAAATAATTAATTTTGTGGTAATTAAATTAAATTAAATTCTTTCAAAACTGCAGATGCGCAAATGCGTGAGTTTAAAGTTTCAAGGCGTCATTAAAGGATAAGAAAACTGATGAGGCATAAATTTTGTCGGTAAATTTGTGCTTGTTATCTAATCTTAACAAAGATAATTTAGACTAAATTAAACGACTAAAAATACATTTAAAAAAAAATAAATAAATTTCGTACGAGAAGGGAGAAAAGATTTATAAATTGAGAGAAAGATAACAAAATCTTTGATAGTTGTAAAAACCGCGATAACGTTAATACTCTGAACGAATAAATGAGCTTTGGATAATCTATTAGAATATTATAATATAATTGCGATCAAATCTTAATCAAATTTACATAAATTCATTCGTTTAATGATGTATTTATCATAATTTATTGCATAAACGTATTTATTATAATTACATTTTTAACAAATCTGTGAAGAAGAATTTTCTCGGCGTGAAACGAAATTTACGTTGAAATGAAGGATAATTTTGAATTCATCTTTGGATCTACGCGTAACTAGGAATTTCTCGAGAATTTCAGAAGCTGTGAAGAACTCTCACCTGCATCGTAGACGGACATGTGTCTAGGAAGATCTATTGTTAAAAAGAGATTATCTTTTAAAATATTGGAAAGGGTTATTCGGTCATAAAACCTAAGGTATCAATAACATGCGAGGGTAATAAAATTCCACATGTTTCATCGGACCCGGCGAGCAATTGTAAATATTTGTTTAGGTTTTATTTTTCCGATAAAGATCTCCTTGTACACTGTTCCTTCTAACGAAAAACATATGTAGACCTTGGACTTTGCTTGGACCTTGCACCCTAGTGCTATTGGTCAATCGAACTAAGAATCTCCTACTCTTTCCAAAAGGGGTGTTACTTATTAGACTATAAATGCGTGGAAAGAAGGAGACTGGGGACTGTTATTAGAACTATTAGAGTGACTGTTACTAAGGATCGGGAGTCGAGTGTTCGTCATTATTTCGTCTTATTCGTTCCACTCGTCTTATTCGTGTTATTAGAAGTTATTGGTCTTATTCGTTTTATTCGTCTTATTCGTGTTATTAGTATTATTCGTCTTATTTTATATTATTCGTATATTTGTAACATTTCTACATACTGTAATATTCGTATTGTGCTTACTTGTTAAAATAAAGCTGTTTTTTTGTTGTTTACCTTCAATCATCACGAGTTCCTAAGGTGTTTTACACAGAAGCTTTGTTAATTAGAGAAACGCCCAGATACATAATTCACTGAAACTTTTAATATATGTATATCCGGTTGAAATAAGAATTTCTTTAAAGTGAAACAAAATATAGAAATTTAACATAAGAGAAATAAATGATATCAATCAATGAGATTTGCACGTAGAAAACTCAATGAAATTGTAATCTCATATTCGATTTTACGACAGGTAGACTACAGTTAAAGCATATACAGGGTTTAAATACAAAATATTTTAATGCAATTTCAATGGTATCAGATGACAAGAATATATTTTGATAATGTAATCATTTTATCCTTCGTTTATGAAATCATTAAAATTTTTGTAAAAAATATTTTTTGCATCATCAGAATCGAAGGACATATTTAGGTATTTTGTATTTAGTGAAATACCTTGTATATTCTATCGTATAGATTGGGATATTGTTTTTGTTTGAACGAGCAAACGTGCTTGGCTTGAAATTTCTTTCTCGATTCGATGAAACAAAAACTTCGCGAAATATATATATCGATTAACTCGCTTACGTTTAATTAAAGGACACTTTGTCGTTCTAAATTGTAGCAATTAGAAGTTCCTCAATGAAAGGCATCATTTTAAAAGTAAAAAACTAACGACAGATAAATCAAATTTAATGGCATTAAGTAATTGGGCATTCGGTAGAATATGGTTGGTCGTTTTTCTAGAAAAGTCTTACGTACAATTTCATCCTTCCTAAAGGATTGTAACGGTTTGTACTTCTGCTCTTAAACTGAATACGAAGTCTCTACGAAGTTCGTAATTAGACCAAAACCGTGTTAATAAGCAGACGCTGTTACGACCGTAGCAACGCGAGCTCAACTAATTAAGTATTAATCATTTCTAATCGCAACGCAAAAAAAGAAAAAAAAGGAAATATTCTGTCCGACTTCAAACTCTTTAAGATTCTTTTTAAACTTTTCTATATATGTTATTTATAGTAATATTCGCATAAAAATAAAAAATATTTGTTTATTAATATTTAACAAAATAAAATATACACAAAATAAAACGATTGGTTATTTAAATTGTCAGTATTTTTAAAGATTTTGTATCAATATTTTGCTTAAAAAATATTTGATTCAGTACAAATACATAAATACTAATTAAAATGAATAACAACAAAAAGAAGTGAAATAAAAAATGGAAAATACGAGAAAGAAAATTACATGCAAATTGTTGCAAGAACGTTTAAACTGCGTAACAGACGTTAAGTATAATATAATAGTAGTTTATATATATATCTGAAATTAGGTGTAAATGAATTCGCGTCTGGTTGAAGTAATTTAGCACATCAGTAATGATATACGTATGTAACGTATGTTACCTACATACATATGTATATACGTATATAAGTATGTATTTTATTAACATGTAAGAGTGTAGGCTTTTAAGGAAGGAAAAAGAAATAAAAGTTTTTACACTCACCGATGGCATTTTTGTCGTTGTCGTTCATGAACCCATAAAGCTTCCCCAAGACTATGGGTGCCACTCTGTACTCCACCCATGGTCGTTTCTCGTAAATGAGGAGACCTGTCGTAAATCCATAACCATTAGACTCCTTGCTAAAGATATACTATACTACCTTTACGTGATCGTATTACTATTTCTCCTTTATCCAGTATCGATTTTTTATTTCTCTTTTTTTTATTTTTTTTTTTATTTTACAATCTTTATCGTTAAATTTGTCCTTTTATTAAATTCAGTCAAACTAAAAAAATAAAAAAGTAAAAAACAAGTTCATTGTACGACAAATATTTTATATTTAATATAAAATATACAAAATAATTAATACAATGTTTTAATACAAAATAAATAAATATTTTGTATTTTGTGAAAGAAAATAAATCGCTATAGTATTTACTTATTTAATCATAAAACATCGTATAAAGTTAGGTACAAGTGTAATATAGTTTCTGGTTTGGCCAATAGGTGTCACTCTATGTTGAGTCTTTCTCACAAGAGATACGTTCGGTGGAATATTTTATATTTCGATGAAACCTCTGCACGGATTATGTGAATCGAGAGTTGTTCCTTAACGTATATTTTTTCGAGAAAGGATCTTTGCCATAAGACATTGATCCGAGTAAATTAACAAGAAAACATAAATATTATTTCCCCACTTCCTAATCTTAATTATGAGATACCTTATATGTTCTTACCACATTAATCCCTGATAGTCTCATGTATATTCAGAATACAATGCACATCATCACTCGCACTCCTCTAAATAGAGTGGATTATAAATACTCAACTACAATACTTCTTTGTCTTCTAGAATAATCTTATCTGAGACGCTTTAGTTATACAGTTTTCTTACTATACTACTTTTCTAATAAGTTTTCCTTTTCCAAATAAAGTTCAAATCCCAAAGGGATTTACTTTTATCTTTCCGCATATCAACAAATGAAAGAATGAGTGAGAGAGAAGTGAAGAAGAAAAACATTCGGCCATTTTTTTTTGTAAACTTTTATTTTCTTGAACCACCCCACCAACCCCACCTATCTTTACTATCCTTCGTATCATATCCTCTTTTTATCAAACTGCGTTAATCCTAAAAGAAAACTTTTACTAAAAGTTTGAACAATTCACGTATAGTACACAAGGAAACATCAACATACCCTTAGAATTATTTTGGTTGATCGATCGCATGCAGAATCCTTCAATTAGTTAATTTTCCCCATAGTAAAAAACTTTGATTGATTGACGAGTGAAAACTAAACAATGAGAAAAGATTGGGGAGATTCACTGACGAAAGAGAGGTAACTTTTCAAACGTAAGCACATCACTTATTAATTGGAGAGAATCTTATGGCGAACTGACTGACGAGTTGTCGGAAAACTCGAGCAACAAGAAAGGTTTCCACGCCGTTTGGTTGAATAAAAGAGTATGAGGTGGTAGAAGAGGAAAGGATTTAAAAAAAGAAAGAAGTAGTGGTAAATTTCTTTGCCACTTCCCAACCTAGAACCGAACGCATGAGTCTTCAGTCCATGTAATAGACTGAAAGTTGGCATAAAGATAGAGAGAGAGAGAGAGAGAAAGAGAAAGGGGGGAGTAGGAGAGAGAATAAGTGGGAGGGGGTAAAGGAGGAAAGGTAAGAGAAGAGCGAACTAATTGTCGGACATTGCCTGTTCGTTTTAAAGGAAACGCAATTAAACCGACACCGAATTTTCTTGCGAGACTGCATAGATATAAACTTATAAATATATCTATTATATTGTATACAGAGTAATTTTGTTTTTTAATGAAATATCTAAATAATCTCGAATAAAGATAAAAGATATCTGATATTTTTATCTCATAAATTGAATAAATCTTTATTTTGAATGTTTATAGGATTAGTTTTATTAAATTAAGACATCTTTATATTTTAAATAAAAGGGGATAATCTTGTTATTTTTGTTGTATATGATTGAGAAATTTTTATTCGAAAATGTATTTATTTTTTCTTTCTAAAAATCTCTTGTTATCGAAATATTCAGGTATCTCTATTCTAAAAAAACTTATATATATATAAAAGTTGGATAAAAAAAAGTTTGAAATAAAAAATGTTCGTGTTTTTTCCTTTATATAAGATGCTGTTACAAAAATTATAAGTTTTCGAGAAGTTGACTTCATATTTTTCTCATATTTGTTCCTTAAAACTGAACAACTTTTGTTTCCAACTTTATGTTGTCAAAGCTGTTTTTCCTCGAGATACTGAAGTAGTTCAATTTAAAAATCTGTATATTATATCCTATATATTATCTAATACTTGGATCCAAATTTCGCAGATAAATATTTTTTTGTTTTCAAAACAAAAATGAGATATGACGTTATTATAATTATAATTTTTTGTAATCTCTTTATAATAAAAATAATTCGATAAAATTTTTCCATCTATATTAAATTTATTCAAAAGTTTTGAACGATGATAACGATTACACTCAATTCCATTATTGTGGAGAATAGATGACGTTAGATCTCACAGAGTTATCGGTGTCCGTGCGAAACGAACATAAAATAAAACAACTATAACGTTGCATTCTTCGTTACCTTTTTTTTCGTTTTTTATTATTATTATAAATCTTTTTGCAATCCAATACATTTAGGAAATAGAAACTTATACGTATATTTTGAGGGAGTTGTATTCAGAATTTGACAGAGATATCGACTTTGGAAACATTTCGTAAAACGCAATGCATACCAGATACATCATACTTGTTGTTTTTGAAGACCAATCGGTATTCGAGAGATTTATAGTTTACTCGTAGTTTCATTTCTCTCGCAAAATTGAGCAAAAAAAAATTCCTAGCAAATCTTTTATAAGTGTGTGGAAAACGCGTTTAACTTAAAGCCCTATCGCAATTTCCTGCTTCTCAATACCTCTTCTTGTCAATACCTATATTAACTTTCACGAACATTTAATTATCTCTCTCTCTCTCTCTCTCTCTCTCTCTCTCTCTCTCTCTCTCTCTCTTTCACTCTTATAGTATTATAGAAATAATAGTAAAAGTAGAATCAATTGAAAAATAATTAAATTCAATGCTATTCAAATTGTAATCCACATTGGTTTATCGAAATTATTTTATAAGTATTTATATCACATCTTTTAGTACAAATTATAAAAATATAGTAGTAATTAATTCTATGCCATAAATAAATATTAAATGTGTTTTTAAAAAACATCGAATTAATTTATACATCTATAGTATAATATAATTACAGTATATATACAATATTTACAAATTATAGTACAAATTTCATTGGTAAAAATAAAAAGGGTCTATTTAATGATGTGTAAAATAGTAAGGAGAAATAAATTCAAGGCTCTTCTTGGCAGGTTCTTTTAGTTAAAATTGTGTCAGTTGGCTGGCATTTCTTTTCTCGAATTTCCGTCATAAGATCGAAAATCGTTCTGGAATTGCGGATGCATCTGAAAAGAAAGAGAGAAAGATAGAACAGCACATGCGCATTTCAATATACACATATTTATATACTCACATGCATACATGTAATCATGCATATATGTATATATATATAGGAAAATACATGGAAATGTTTGTACGGGATAGAAAAAGAGATAGAAAATAACGCGGATCGACGCTCAGTTCCGTTCTGCTTACAGCGAAACGTTTCACCCTTTCCTCTTGGACCCCTCGCTCTTTTGATCGTTCATTTTATTCCGTTCTCCACACTCTGATACCTTCCTCCGCCATTTCAACGGCTTCTAACCAGGTTAATGTAGCCTCAGGTTCTCGATCATGTTCCCTCCCTTGTTATCACGCAAACGAATTCGCACGAACCGGTCAATCTAACTATGGTTATAATCTATGTCAAGCTCTTTGTCATTAGATCAGATGTGATAATATCACCTTTACTTTTAACGTATTTAAACCTTATAATATTCCAAAATAATTAAAATACATTTCAAGTTGAAATTATTTCAATAAACTATTTCGCGCATTGAAATTAATTTTTATTGTAAACTTGTAACGTGGTTAATAAAAATGTGTAATAATTTTGTTTAAATATTGTTATTTGTGATTAAAAAAGGTTTTATAAACGTATTATGAATATAATATTTAAAGATACAAAAAAATCCTTAGATTCCAGTGATATTTATATTTAATGTTGAACAATCGTTGATTTATTTGTTTAAAATTAAGGAGAGATAAAAAGTAGTGACAAAAAAAATGAAAAACCAAGCAGACGAGTAAAAGAATCGCGTGCAATATTTTTAGCATGTATTACCTTCTCACGCGAAGTATCGTTTTTCCATACGCTCCTGCTCATAATCATTTTTAACCGTCCGAGAATAATTCGTTTCCTTAATAAAATCTTATCTGCGTAAGGACATTGATCCGAGTAGGAAGGATTCATTTCTAATTGAATTTCTAATCTTTCGTTTGATTTAATTTTCAGTTTCTAACGTTACCGTGACATATCAAAGGGGACTGCCAAATATTACTTTACCTCTGCCATCGAGAAAGGAATACTGTGTATTCGCATTGAAGCCAATTACTTGTACAGTTGGTGACTTAATCGATATGATCAAAAATGAAGATCGTGGGATTGATCGAGCGATCGTTACAACGATAGGTACGATCATCTATTCATTTTAATAATAATCACAAAATATTATTGTAAATTAATTTAAAAATAATTGGCAGTTTTTATTTGGAATTAAAAACGAAATTTTTTTATTAAGAAATAATTAGATAATTAAAGTCTCTAACCTTTCTTGTTAATTATTTATGTCACATCATAAATAATTAACTGGTTAAAGAAATACAATAATTACTAATATAAAAATGTATATAATACACAAAATAAAGAATAATTAATATTTAATGAAACTCTAATTATTTTTAGATGGTATCCGGATAGGTTCGAGCAACACGATAGAGAATCTCTTACAAAGTGAATTTAAATTAATAATAAACGATATGGAATACATCGTGCAACCTCCATTACATCAAAAACATACGATGGTAAATATCAATATTTCAATGTATTTACAATCTTATTAAATTCGTAACTACTCATTACCCTCACTTTATGAATATCTAAAATAGGAAAGTATGCAGAAGTTATCGGACGTACAAATATTGGTTGGGCAACTTTATGAGAGCTTACAAGTACGTGAATATCATGCTGACATGGAGAGACAAGTTCTAGCAGAGTTGGAAGATATCAAATTGCAGTTGAAACCATATGAAGAGGTAAGAAAAGATTTTCCGAGTAGATTCATTTATAAATTATTTATTCTAGAATACCCCCAATAGTAATTTTACGGAATTTATAAATTTTCTTATTTCAATCACGTATCAGAGATTTGAAAGAAAGAATTGGAAACACGTTTTTCGTTACATTTTCCATTTTCTCTCGGGTCATTAATTTACGAATTTACCTGGGCATTTTACAGTCTACCTTTCTTTCTATTTAACCATTTCATCAAGAACCTACTTCTACTCCTTTTTCTTCTTCTTTCTCGATTTTTTCGTTTTATTTACCTTCTTATATGTAGCTCGATGTTATTTCATGTTTCATACGCTCAATTAAAAGAAAATAGTATATATCTTTTAAGTTAGCTTTAACCGTTGGCTATTTACCTTCAAATCTTTTGCTCTATATATGCACACGATTATATTAGAGTTGCACTTCACGATGATACATTTTAAACATGATGATGAAGTTATCAAAATAATGTCGAATAACCTTCGAAATTTAAACGAATATAGTTTTGATCTATTATGTCATGAACTTTCATGCTAATATGTATATGCATCTCATGTATAAACTTTTGACCTCGATGAAACAGAAGCTGCAAGAGTTGGAAAATGCCGCTATCAGAAGAGCAAATTTGAATGCTTGGGTAGCGTTAGTGTTGATGTCAATACACGCTGGTAGTTTTGCGAGACTAACTTGGTGGGAATATTCTTGGGATATTATGGAACCTATTACTTATTTCGTTACTTATGGAACCGCTGTTGGTTGGTTTATTTATTTCCTTCTGACGCAGCAGGTTTGTTAAACAAAAAAAAATTTTAATAAAATTTTTCTTCTATTTATACAGAAATTAAATTTTTCATTTGTTATTATTATTATTATCAGTAAGCTTATATAATTATTAAGACAAAAACTATATTTGAAAATAATCTAACTATTGCATGCATATTTATGAAAAACAATGAATCTGAAAAATCGGAAGACACGGAAAGGAAAATAATTTGTAATAATTATTTTTTGTTTTCTACAGGAATACGTGCTGCAGGACGTAGTGAACAGGCGACGTTTGATAGAACTTCACAAAAGAGCGAGGCAAATCGGATTGGATATAGAGGCGTATAATCGTTTGAAGGATCGAGCATACGATTTGGAGGGTACATTGAAAGTGATTCGAGGACCTTTATACGAACGAAGACTACAAATGGAACAGAAGAAACGAAGTTACAGCTCTAGCAGTTCAAGATCGCCTAGTTCCTCGCCTAGTCCTAGTCCTAGTCCTAGCCCTAGTCCACAAAGAGACGTTCCTAAAATGGGAATTAAAATTGAAAAACAGGAAACATCGAAGACACTCGAGTACGATAAATTTAGATAAGTTATCGTGAGTTACCAATTTCAGTCAGAGTTATTAAAAAGAAAAGAAACAGAAAAACAAACGTCAACGGTCATTGTTAATGAACTGAATTCTATATTAAGAGGAAGAAAAAACAAAAAAAGAAGAGGAAGAAGAAAAGTTAAAAGAAACAAAAGAGAAAGGAAAAGATAAAATATTCTTGAGTGATAATTATTATTAATTATTTAGGATGAATACCTCGAGGAAATCGAAGCTGAGTACGAAGATATTTAATAATATGTGACTACTACTTCTACTTTTCTTTTTATCTTTTTTTTGTAAATTATTTGTTGTTTTCTTTTTTTTTATTGAAAATAGAAAAAAGAAAACTAATAACTAATACGACTGGTAGTATCTTCGTCGCAGTCTTCCGACTATGTCGTTAGAACAATTAATGACGTTCCTCAACTCAACGATTTTAGTATATATATTATTAATTATTAATTATTATTATATGGAGAAGAAGGGCCTGCACAATGGTCGATACTGTCGGTTGTGATAGGTTCGAATGAATAATAAGAGTTAACGGGGAGAACGAAATCTTACGCGATTCGGTCTTCTTATTTTCGTCTCGTGCGAATTTTATTATTAAAAATTTTTAATCCGTCGACCGTCACTTTCTTCTTTCAAGATGCATCGAAACCTCTATAGAGGAGAGGGGTGGAAAGAAGATGGAAAAGGTATATATAAATGAATTGTTATTATAGTTGAAAGACTCTTTTCAATCTTTTAGCTTCTAATTTTAACACGAAAGAAGATAGACTTTTTAATATAATTATTATTTATTAAAAATTCGTTGTAAAATATAGATAAAAATTCCTTTGACTTCGTAGGATTATCTTCAGACTACAATTTAGTTATATTATTCTTTAAATGTTAAATAACTTTAATTTTTAATTACCGTTGATCGTTGATTTCTAATGAACCATGAGGTAATACAAATTTCTACAAAGTGAATCTCACATACACTTAAGAATCATTTAATTAATTGTGCGTACGTAATTATTTATATTTTTTATCAAATGATAGATACATTATATTTATTTTTTCTGTTGTTTTCTTCTTCCCCGTTGAATCGCTCTTACTATAAGTTAATATTTTATTGATAGTAATAAATAAAAAAAAAGGAAAAGAAAATATTAAGAAAGATAAAGAAAAGAAAAAAGATAGAAGTGTTAAATATTATACGAACTTGTTGATAATTACACGTGTACGCGTTATTTTTAGACAGTAAGTGTTAATGCTAGTAATGGACGATTTTGATTAAGAATAACCGGCTTCATATTGATTATAGAAAAAAAGAAAAAAAAAAGAAAAGAAAAAAAACGAAACAAAAATCTTCGATATAATTTTTAATATCTAAATTAATTCTATATTTACTTTTCTTTTTATATTATTAGCCTATACTATTTAACTGTTATCTCTACTATGCCCATTAACTATCCTATAGCATTCTGGGAATATTTTTCATGAAAGTATCGTATGTATGACTAAACGTTGAAAGTAGATTACTCTTATAGGAATCTCTGAAGGAACTTTTTCTCTCGCTTTCGTAAAAGTCTCCTCACATTCTATCTATCCGTCCGTAATCATGAAGTTACTACCGTGAAATACTCTTGGATCACTTATATTAACGCTTCTCTCTTTCTCTCTCTCTCTCTCTCTCTCTCTCTCTCTCTCTTTCTTTCTTTCTTTCTCTAGTTTCGGAAAAAAAAGAAAAAAAAAAAACTAGAAAATAAGACGGAAATAATTATACCTCGTTGTACTTATTTAACAGAGTAATGTATGTTACAAATAAGAGTCCAGTCCTATCCCCTCCCCACCCTTCATTTTTGTGATTATTTATTATTCTCCTCAATCGAAAGTATGAATCATTTTCTCAAAACTTTTACCGCAAATGCAATACAATTATACTTTGATAAAATTTTTGCTCTTACTTTAATTGACAAGCAAAACGACAGTAATTTAAAATTTACTTTATTTTATTTTTATTTGTTTTTGTTTATCTTATTACATTTTCCGAGACGAGAGTCGTAAAATGAGTGAATCACTTGCGAATAATTGAACAATCGATAACCGTGACGAAAATCATTCATCTGTCAAACTGTTCTTTTAGATCTTTCCTAATTATTCTATCGCTATTAAAAAAAAAATAATAATAATAATAGTAAATAAATAAATAGATAATCTATACTCTATTTTATTTGCACTTCCTTCTACTAGACTCATATTTAAAAAAAAAACATTTGGCACGGGATTAGGATAAAAAGTATAAATAGATGAAAAAAAAATTATAATTATTGGAGAAAGAATAGTATCTACGATTTAACTGACGATAAATGTAGAAATTTTGTGAAAAATTTTGATATAGAGAAATGTATCGGAAATGAAATATTTGGTGTAGACGATTTCAAGCGAAAAGTTTTATCTAGTTAATGAACAGTGAGAATAAATATAAAACACACAAGCTTTCTACAAGCACGTTGCACGCATCCCAATAAAAAGACACATATATAGACGAACTCGTAATCTCTTAGTGCCAATTTAACAATCTATAATATTTCTACATCAAAAATCTTAATATTTCTATTTATTTGATCAGTACTTTAATTAATTTGTAAATAATATTTTGTTTATTATAAATAACTATATATCATTATATTTGTCAATAGGATATTGTTTAATTATGTTTATATTACTACATACTGATATTTTATCATAAATATTGATGAATATTTGTATTAATGTACGGACAATTATTTTTATTAGTTGATGTAATATTGACCGCTTATATTACTAAATATTTAATTGAAATAACAATTAAATGAAAAATGCTGATCTGATAAAGATCTACTGTATCTTGATATCTTCAAATCCAAAAATGAAAGAGGATTTGTAAAAAAGGAAAAAGGAGGTAGATAAAAGGACGTGATGATAATTTGATTAGTATAATAAAAAATCGTCGATCCTTGCAAAGTCACCACTATTTAACCCGAAAAAAATTTTTTACAATCGTTAATAAAAGATTTTCATATATGAAAAGATTTTTGTACATATAAATTACATATATTAAAAATAAAAATACGAATATGGTGTATAAAATATATACACGATATCATACTATTATTTTAATTAAAATAAATTATCTTCTCGCGCCGATTTTTACTAATTATAAGCTTTATTATTATTATTATTATTATTATTATTATTATTATTATTATATATTTTTTACTTATTATATATTTATTATTTACCATATACGAATATGTCTGAAATTTTTCAAAATCGATTAATAATATTTAATTAGTTTAATAAGAAATAAAGAAACATATTGCATTTAATATTATTTTATGTATGTATAAGATATATTTAACACATTTTTCATCTATTCTCTTTTATCATATTCGCTTATGAAATTGTATAAAAAAGAACAAAATTTTTCAAAAGAAAAAGAAAACACAAGTGTGTTACATCCAGACATACCCAGTGAACACAAGACCTTAAAATTATGTCATACGTATGTCATACAGTCATCTTCAAATTTTTTCGTAGACATGACTTAATGGTGACTTATTTATGACCTCAATATAAAGTTATTTTTTCTGACTTAAAAATGACGTAATAATTCCATCATATTCTTACAGCAAAAAATGAAAGGTTGAAATGTTTTTTTTTTTTAACTTGGTATTTTGAGACTATTAATTAAGTATATAATATTGTAAAATTGTTTAATTGCATTAATTTAATTTAAAAAAAAAATAAATTAAAAATTTTTTTCAATTAAATAAAAAAAATAGGAAACTAACTGAGCTTACTCTGGGACTGGGGGGGATAATCGCAGATTTAGACAAAGTTTTTTTCTAGAAAATAAAAAAAAATGAAAAATGGCAAACTTCGATAAAATAACGGTTTTTCTTTAAAAAAAAATGCGAAAATTTCATGAATTTTATAATTTTGAAAATTTTTTGTATTTTTTTCTGAAAAGTACATTTAAAAACAAATATTTTTAAAAAAACGTTCCAATAGGTTGAATTTTAAAGAAGTTATAGCCATTTAAAAAAAAGAGCCATTTTTTTCAAAAATTAAAAATTTGTTTTGGGTTTCGTAAAAAAATTTGAAAAAATTCTGAAAATTGTTTTTCAAAGGGTAGCATAGGATAAAAAACTTTCAGCCAAATCGAGAGGAGTCGGGGTCAAAAGTGACCGATTTAACGTGGAATGCCCCATATATATATTAGGGTGGGTCAAAAAAATCAATTATTTTTTTTTTACAAGTGCCACGGAAAAATGGGTTGCAAGACACCTTAAAAAAATTCTCACCAAATATAAGCTCTTAATTTTAATAGGAAAATCCTCCGCATCGCAGTTTTTTATTTTTTTCGCAGTCCAATAAAATAAAATTCATACCTCATCATTAATTGATTGTACAGAAAAGTGTTCTGGAAGAATTTTGTACGAAATATAATGCTCTACAAAAAAGATATCTTATATTTTTTCCGTAAACCTTACCATTTGAATGATATTGAAGATTTAAATTTGATTATTTTAAGACAAATTTTTGTAAGAAATTAACTGCTCTATAAAAATGGTGTCTTATATTTTGGCGATTAAATTAAGCGTTTAAAAGATATTCATCATCAAACTTTCATGTGTACTGATTTCTGTCTCTGAATATCTTTTGAACGCTTAATTTTATCGCCAAAACATAAGACACCATTTTTATAGAGCAGGTAATTTCCTACAAAAATTTGTATTGTACACTTTTTAATACTCATTTATTGTCGAGTTATAAAATTCATAAACAAAAATGAAATTTGTCTAAAAATCATCAAATTTAAATCTTCAATATCATTCAAATGGTGAGATTTATGGAAAAAATATAGGATATTTTTTCTGTAGAGCATTCAATTTCCTACAAAATTCTTCCAGAACATTTTTCTGTACAATCAGTTAATGATGAGGTATGAATTTTATTCTATTGGACTGCGAAAAAAATAAAAAACTGCGATGCGGAGGATTTTCCTATTAAAATTAAGAGCTCATATTTAGTGAGAATTTTTTTAAGGTGTCTAGCAACCCATTTTTCCGTAGTACTTGTAAAAAAAAATAATTTTTTTGACCCACCCTAATATATATATTTAAAAAAACGGTGATGATAAGTCACCTTATAAGTATATATTTTCAGTGCATTAAATAAATATGTCTAATGGTTATTGTACCACCGGTGGTACACGTGGCACGGAACGTGTTAATTATAATTTATATTAATAATTGATGTTATATTTTATTATTAAATATTATTTATTAATTATAATTAATAATATTGTTAATTATATATGGATTAATAATATAATGGAAATTAATATAAGTTCGCATGGCTCAGTGAGGCAAATCACTATCCAGTAGTAATGTTCATCCAGTAGTTAATCGTATGTTCCCTAGTTCAATTCCCGGGGAAAAAAAAAAATTATACGTCATATACTAGTAAGAATTTGGCAACAACGAGACATCTTATGATATCATTGCTTTTTTGTTTTTTTGTTTCGTTAGGTCAGCTTAACGTCATATTTATTACATAAAAGTCTTACTTCAATAAATGTGAAATAATGAGTCAAATGTGACTCATATCTGACTTATATCTTACGTAAATCCTGACATAGCGCAAAATCATTTTGACGTCATTTTGACGTAATTGTGTTTACTGGGACATGATTTAATCTCAAGCTCTTTACATATACGTATTTATGGTAATCAAACGATTTTCTGTAATTATTCCCTCCCAAAAATGAGACTTTATTTATACATTTATTATTTTATAGACACGACTGTATTTATCGATCAAGTGACGAATATACGTAATGATGAAATGTTTAATTAAGTGCATAGTATTTATTATTAAAAAAAAAAGAAACAAAAAAAAGATAAAAGAAAACATTAAATACATTATCTACAATGTCATATAGAATCTCTCATTAGCAGGTATAATGTGCGCGCTGAAAATAAAAAAAAAGAAACTGAACAAACAAAAAAATAAATATTTTATCGATTACGGTCGTTTCTAAAACGCTTCGTGATGTTTCTGCATATGTAAATAATTATTCTGATATATACATATACATATATTTATTCAGTTCAGAGTTCTGCTGTGATGTACGTCCATGTACCTACTTCTACATAAAAAGAGAACAGGAATACAATGAAATATATATATACATTTAAAATTAAATTTTAAATTAAATTTCTTTCAACATAGCCTCTCCTAAGATTTTTTTTTCTTTTAATATTTCAAAAATAATTTATTTTTTGTTAGATTTAATTTAAAAGCTTAAATATATCTTATTACAATGTATTTTTAAATCCTATTTAAAATTCACAGGTATTTGCATTATTTTAATCCGTATTTTATTTAAATTTATACGCGACGTGTAAACATTAGTTTTTTCTCGTTGAAAATATCCCGCCAAGAGCGGCTAAGATTAAGCATACGCAAGAAATACGAACAACCAATCAAAACATAGCTACTATGACCCTATTTTCATTTGCGCGACAAATGACAGTCAAAATGGATCTTTTGTGTATTGCCATTGAATTCTTTAAACTTTTTCAATTTTTCTCATCGATTTAATGAATTTCTCCTAACAAATTAAAAAAGAAATTACAATCATAATTGTAAAGTATGTTTAATTCAAATTATATTTTTCTTATTTATTAATTATCAATATATAAATTATGCGACTATATTTTTCGTATCAACAAATCAAATATCATTAACATATCGCATATATAATTAAATACTACTATTGATACAATATATATCATTTTCTTAATACGAATAAAATCCTTTTATTTGTACTTTCTATATCGATTATATATTTTTATAGCTAAATGAATTAATCCTCAATGGCATGCTTAACAAAAAGTATTATGAGCAGCAGCTATATTTTTAATTGCTTGTAGTAAATGTTTTATTGTATATGCGTTTCACAACTTTAAATAATTGAGAACAATGCAGAAAATGTTTAATATACAGAAAAAAACCTTTATTTTAATACTAAAATACAATAGGAAATATCACGACAATTATCCTAAAGCGTAAGGAGGAGTACTAGCAGTAGAAACTTCGTAAACTCCAACAGCACTATAAAATTAAAAATAATAATTCACTTTAAATTAATAAAAATAATAAACACAATA